TGTCTGGTTTTCTGGTGTGAGGTTAGAATTAATATTGATATGGTTTAGAGACGTATCGGCGGCTTCCACTGCGTCCGACTAGAAGCAGATGGGAATGGTTCCTAATTCATCTGCAAGTGCTAACGAAGTGCCACGGAAAAGGTGTCGGTGTTCGTTGCTAAAATTTGTAACGAGCAGTTGAGATCGGCCATCACGTAGCTGTATGATACTCCTAGCTACACAAACACCTTGAGTCGGCAGGGGTTCAAAATAACTTTCTGCAATCGCTTCACCATTTCACAATCCACAGCATATGATGTCGACAATATCACTGGCTCTTGGAGGAAGCGTTATACTTTCAGCAGAAACGCGAAGAACGTCGGCACGTTGTTGGTCGTCCCGCTTGTCGATTGCTCGGTCGGCTGAGAAGGTGATGCGATTCTCTTGAAGATCAATGACAGCTTCATACTCCTGCAGGAAGTCAACACCAAGAATAACGTCGCGTGAACATTCACGGAGCACAAGGAAACTTCGTACAAAAGTATAACCGCAGACCCGAACTCTACTCGTGCAGGTTACAAGCGGAGAGACGGTGTGGCCACCAGCCGTTCGAATCACGGAGCCATGCCAGGCCGTAATTACCTTCTTTAGTAGTCTGGTCGTTTTCCCGCTTAGTATTGAATAGTCAGCCCCGGTATCAACTAAAGCACCTACTGCATAGCCGTCTATCAGCACTGGTATATCCAGAGAAAGCCGCACATATCGCTCAGTCGAATCTACACCCTTTACTGTTAGCGTCGATCGGAGGTCTTCAGCACGTCGACTGCCAGCGACCTCGCCTCCAAGGGTCGCTTGCGTTAGTTTTCCCGGCGGGGACTGGGGGACCGTGCGCCAGCATGGCGCTGTGGCAAAGATGAAAAGCGCCTCGGCGACGGTGAGCGCGGCTGCCGTCCAGAAGGCGGTGGCATGCGCTGTTGAGCCAGGTAGTCCTCAATGTCCCGGGGTCGCTGGCCATACCGAGGAGGCGCTGAACATACTGAAAAGCCGCGCAGCCCGAGGCGGCGGTATGGACAGTGGTGGTACAAATGGTCCGCTTCACTGCAGTGGAAGCACAAAGGTCGGCGATCAGGAGTGCGCCAAACATCAGATTTCCGAGGCGAAGCACGTCTGCCGTCAACGTAGTGTGCTGGTTGTTCCGCAAGATGCACAGGGCTGGTGTAAACGAGGGGTGGGGGCGTGCGTGTGTTCTCGTAGTACCGTAGAGGCTGTGCCGACTGAAGTGAAACCGTAGGAGGTGCTTGAACAAACAGCGAGGAAGAGGAAGCTGGGCGCTTCAAGGCTTCCGCATAGGTCGCACGGTGGTAGTCAGCCGGGGCGGGTGTGGCGTTATCCAGACTCACAGGGTCACGAAGGGCATGATGCAGCTCGTCCTTGACGATGCTTGCAATGGAACTCACCGTAGGAAGTGGTGGTGTGTCAGCCTTTTGCAGCTCCTCGCGTACAATAGAGCGGATAAGGTCGCGCAGACACTCGGTGTTGCTCCCAAAAGCCGTGAGAAGTTGAGCAGTGGGCGTGTTCACTTGCCGCTCATACTGGGTGGATCGATGCTGAAGCATCTTTTCCATTGTGACGGCTTCGGACAAAAACTCGGCGAACGTGTTCGGAGGGCTCCGTACAAGGCCAGCGAAAAGCTGCTCCTTAACTCCCCGCATCAAGTGACGCACCTTCTTTTCTTCTGTCATACTCGGATCAGCCCGTCGGAAAGGGCGCGTCATATCTTCCACATAGGTCATGACAGTTTCATTGGGCATCTGGATGCGGGCCTGGATCGCTCGCTCCGCTCGTTCGTGGCGATCAGCACTTTTGTAAGTATCCAACAGCTGGCGGCGGAATTCGGGCCACGATGTCATCTGTTCCTCGTGATTCATGTACCAGGTACGTGCACCATCCTCCAAATAGAAATACACACGCCGCAGTTTGGCCACGTCGTTCCAGTCGTTCAAAGCAGCCACGCGTTCGAAGTTGACCAACCAGTCCTCGACGTCTTCGAGCTCGGTGCCATGAAACGGTGTCGGAACCTGTGGACTTTCGAGGGTGTACCGAGTCACCGGGGGGTTTTCCGTACCTGTTAAAGTGGTTTGAACGGACGTGCTCATCATACTAGGGTGAACTGTAGGGTCAGCTTCAGGTGACAACCCCCTGATCCTGCGGCTTGTCCGATGAACGGGAGTGTTGACTCGCACTGGGCTTGTTGTGCCGCTTCCAGGAGGGGCCTGAAACATCCGTGAGGGGCTACCCAGCACCTCCACCAATTGTCACGTCGCTCCAGGGGGTGTCGGCAAGGTTTATTGACGTCTCAGCAACAGGGCTCTAACCAAGCGCGTCGGTTGGGCTTGTTTGCCAGAGCCGGGGGGGGGGGGGGGGGGGGGGGGGGGGGGCACGCACACTTTTTTCTTCTCTGTGGTGTGAGCCTTCACCTTGGCATACGACCCACTACTAGAAGTAGGTGGCAATATATATCAAAACGCAAGAAAGAGAAAAAAACAGAAAAAAAGACTCCGGCGCGCTGAATCATATGTGGGACCTCCGCGTCGTGAATGCAAGGCGCTAAAGTTACTGTATATGCTACCTAAAGGTATCATATACAGTAACTCTACGGATGGATGGATGGATGGATATGGCTGTACCCTTTAGATCGGGCGGTGGCTAGCGCCACCAAGCCGTAATACCTAATGAACCAAAAACTATATATTTTTTTTTCCTTAAAAAGTGAGTTTGAGGATTCGTACTTTGCAGTGAAGAGTTTAATTTTCACTCATGCCTTGACTTTAGCCACCAATCAGATAACCTCCTTCTAGTTAAGTCTACCCGCTTAAAGTTTATTTTGCCCTCCCGGTCCCTAAACCCCAGTGCTTTGAAAAACTCTGCGCCATCATCCTGAACTATAGGGTGAAGCCCTTTACAGAACATTATCAAGTGTTCGGCAGTTTCTTCTTCCTCTCCACACGCACTGCATACTGTGTCTACCCCTTCGTATTTGGCCCGATATGTCTTGGTTCGCAGTACTCCCGTCCTGGCCTCAAACAGTAGAGAACTACCCCGAGTATTATCATAGATCCTTTCCTTGGCAATTTCCTGCTTAAAAGTTCGATAGATCTCTAGTGCGGACTTCTTAATCGTGCCCATTCTCCACATGTCAGTCTCCGTTTCCTTCACTTTCTTCTTAACCGATAGTTCTTTTTGGTTTGGCCACCTGCTGTTTTCTAAGTATTTACCAGTCAACTTCCTGGTTCACTTCCTCCATTTTGTATCGACATTCTTCATGTACAAGTAGCTGAAAACCTTCCTAGCCCAACGCTCTTCCCCCATTTCTCTCAATCGCTTCTCAAATTTTATCTTGCTGCTAGCTTCCCTGCCCTCAAATGATGTCCATCCCATATCACCTTGTACTCCCTGATTTGGTGTATTCCCGTGAGCTCCTAAAGCAATCCTACCTATTCCACGTTGCTTAATTTCTAATCTTGCTTGAACTTCTGATCTCATGCACAAGACCGCATTGCCGAACGTCAGCCCAGGAACCATGACCCCTTTCCATATTCCTCTTACAACATCATACCTATTGTAATTCCACAGTGCCCTATTTTTCATGACTGCTGCATTCCTGTTACCTTTAGTCGTCACGTATATTTCGTGTTCCCTCAGATACTCGGTCCCATTGCTTATCCATACGCCCAGATATTTGTATTTATCTGTTATCTCTAGCGTGACCTCCTGTATTCTAAGCTCACTACCTTCGTTGTCATTGAAAATCATGACTGCTGATTTTTCCCTACTGAATCTAAAATCTGACCTATCTCCCTCATTACCGCAGATGTCCATCAATCTCTGCAAATCTTCCTTGTTGTTGGCCATTAGCACTATATCATCTGCGTACATTAATGCTGGTAGTGCCTGATCAATAAGTTTTCCTTGTTTGACTAAAGAGAGGTTGAAGCCCAGTCCACTTCCCTCTAATTTTGCCTCTATTCCTTGTAGGTACATCATGAATAATAAGGGTGACAGGGGGCAACCCTGCCTAAGCCCTCGTTTTACCTCTGCAGGCTTGGATACCTGTTTTTCCCACTTTATAACTACCTTGTTACCTTTATAGACACCCTTTAAAAGATTAGTGACTACATGTTCCACGCCTAGTGTGTCCAGTATTCCCCACAATTCCTCTTGAACCACGCTATCGTACGCTCCCTTGATATCCAAAAATGCTAGCCACAGGGGCCTGTGTTCTTTTTCTGCTATTTCGATGCACTGCGTCAGTGAGAACAGATTGTCTTCCAACCTCCTGTGTTTCCGAAACCCATTCTGCAGTTGCCCCAGCACCCCCTCATCCTCTATCCACGCCTGCAGTCTTTCCTTTATAATCTGCATCTACGAGGCGCTAACTACTGTGCCACCTAGCGGTAGCTCCTTCAACGTTTGAATGACAAGCTATTCGTATCTACCACTTACCACTGTCGGCGCGCGTCTATCCAGTTTTCAGCATGAGCAAAATGATGCAGTGAGCACGCGGCGGCTCTCATTTCTCACGCGTAGTTTGGCCCGCGTAGAGAATAAGGGGGTGTACGCTCGATCGCGCGCCCTTATCTTGCAGTGCGGAGAATCGTACGTTTTAGATAGCCTTTGAGTTCCATCGGAACGATTCTGTTGTAGTTACTGGACCCACAAAAATCACTGCAATCATTGCGTAGATTTTGTTTGCGAAAAAGGCGCTTTTCAGACACAGCGAAGTAACAACTGAGACGCTTATTCGTGTTAATATGTACCTGTGAGTACGTTTCACACGTTCTTTGTGCGTGAGAAACATGGGGCACGTTTCAATCTGCTTGCCATTTTACGCGTGACCTTCCAATTTGTTGCTATCGCGTTCGTAGCTTTGCCATTGCGGCAAAGCTGTGACTTTTTTGTTGGAGACAGCCGTGGTCATAGTGATCTATCTGCTGCTCATTCTTGATCTTAACGAGGCTCACCATTTCGGATACCGTGAGCAGGCCATCCAGGCTTGTAACAAACGACACGTTGAGGTGGAATCGCAAGCCTGGAGATGACGGAGGAACACTAGGCCCAGTAGTGATGGTCACCTGTGTAGGGCTCAGAGCCATGGACATCTTCTGGCAGGGAAAAAAACGAAAAAAAAATATTCAAAGTATGAATTCGTTTACACAGCGGGATTTTATGGGAACAGAATTTTAACCCCAAAATGGTTCATGTCGAGGACTACCAAGATTTTACTAGCATCATTTCTGTCCCGGAAGTCACGCAGGTAAAACGTACTCGAAGTGATGACAAATAAAAACCAAAACAAATAATTTTGTTGATTTGAGGGACCTGAAAATTGAACCCACCACGTCTCGGTCCATGAAGACAGCTTCCCGGTACTCTATCTAATGCACCGCCGAGAAACATTCATGAGATGTTCGTCGGCGGGGTGATGTCACCATCTAAAGTGGCCAAGTACTGCGTCACTGCACTAACGAGTGCAGACAGGTAGCGCTTCGGCAGTTTTAGCGCAACGCTCTCAACACAATATTTTAAAAAATCCTATGCCATTGATTCTCAAATAGGTGTCCATGAATCAATTTTTGTGTGGCAAGCCCATCCTCGAAAAAAAAATAACTTGAACTATTCCCATGATTGAGGCCCCTTTTGGTTTTTTTTATTGCTATTTCACATAACATTTCTGCATCGCGACTGAACTGATGTTTGTTTTTTCAAAGGTTATATTGCAGTTTTCTACGACTTATACCCGCCAGCATGCTTTTTTCCAGGCTTGTATACTTAAAAAGCAAACTTAGTGGAAAATAAGTTGAATGTGACTGCAAACTGCACAATCTTAAGACATACTGTCCAGATCGAATTGGCGTGGCACTTCGGCTTGGTCATTCTATACCAGACAAATATATGAGGCATCTATTTCACTCTGCATGTTGTGTTAAATTATTATTCCCCTTCCTTTCTCTCCCTACAAGAAATTTCTCATCTCTTCCTCTTGATCACAAAGAGTCCGCGAAGCATCCATGGCTGAGAACCCCTGCTCTATACGGTCGGTACAATGTGCCATACGCGATGATTAGGTTTGGTGAGGACGCAGTGCATGCTTTTGTTTTCGTGTCACGTTAGCGTGGTGACTCGTCGACAAACCAGTTAAGCTCCCGCATGCACCAATGGCATTTCTCTACCACCTGCTGCTTCAAGTGCGATAGTACCGCCTAGTAAAACTGCTGCAATAGCGGTGCAGAAAGCCAATGACATTGACGGGCGAATGTTGACCGGTGGGTTCTAAATGTTCGGAGTTCAGCATGCATGGTGCGCTTTTGGCAGAGTCTGCTGAGTTATTCTAATACACGCCTACTACTTCAGAAAAAAAAAATTATGCGTGAATCCGACTTGCCATTGTACAATCCTGACATTTCATGGCGGTAGCTTGGATGACGAACAAGTTGCGGCTAACCTGGTTCAACGTGATAACGACGTGGCAGAAAGGCTTCTGTGAGTGAATAACAAAATAACCTGCAATGGATGTTTTCGTAACAATGATTTCACATCGCAAACATTGCCCCCCCCCCCTCAGCTGGTGCTCCAACAAGACACTATTGAGGACATCAGTGCAAGTCATTTATGAAAATCCTCTGATGTGTGTTCTCCGTGTGTTTTGAGAGCATTCTTCTCTGTGGTGACGTGGCGCGCTGTAAATATGAAAGCAGGTTTCCCGTCCAAGCGTCCGCTACGCACAGTCAGTTAGGAATCATAATAAAAATCATTAAGAGAAACCAACGAGAAAAAAATATCAAGTTGAGCTGGAATGAAACAGTGGCGTTGAATGCGTGCAGTTTTATCAGCGTAGCTTTTTAAGCTTAAGTTGCACCCGTGCCATGCGACCGCTAAAATTTATCAGCATCACGCAGTGACGAATAGGATAAAGCATGGCATAGCCATGTATAACAAGTGTAGGGTAGCAAGGGGGTGGAAAAGGGACGTGAGGGTGAGGAGTGGAGAGGGTGGAGTGGAGGAGGGAGGCGAGTTGCAGGTTGGAGGCAAGCAGGCGCTCAAGCAGAGAGGAGGTCACTCGTATGCTAACACATGCCTGCCCTCAACCATATTTTTTCATCACTTTGTATAACTATATTTCATGGCAAAGGCTTTTTCTTAGCCCCCCCATACATTGGCTTTTACGACGTTGAACCTTTCAAAGCCACGCATAACTTTTTGCTTGGTGAACGTATTTGTGAGAGACAAAGTATCTCTTACTCAATTTCTCTCGCCTTAGACTCGTTGTTAGGCGATGTCGCCACGGTTCTCATCGCTCTCAGCGAATTAGAATGCGCCATGATAAGTCACCTCCTGTGGTAATGGCCGCTGTATGATCGCGGCTTTTGTGCTTGCCAAGACGGATGTGGTTGCAAGTGTTTACCCACGCAGTGAAGATTGCGCGCTACTTCAGTGAGGGCGAAACCATCCCCTGTGCTCTCGCGGCAGTGCAACCAACGGAAAGTGAAGCCTTCTTTTCGTTGAGATCATTCGAGGCACTTTGGAATACTGTTTGGTGCAGGTGGATTAAAGACAATAGTCTTTCTTGGGGACCTTCGACAGAAAAATTCTGGTCTGTCTGTCTGTCTGTCTGTCTGTCTGTCTGTCTGTCTGTCTGTCTGTCTGTCTGTCTGTCTGTCTGTCTGTCCGGCCGCCCTAACGATTCCTCAGACGGCACCAAACGGCCAGCCCCATCCGCACTGCCCACCAATATTTCTCAAGGTTTCGCGTTCATTGTTGTGCAATTGTCAATTAAAAAAGCAAATATTGCGCATATCTGAGGTGATATAACAACACGTCTAAATCTTGTAAGTCTGCCTTTATACTAGAAGAGGCACACACAAGTAACTCTAAGGACGCGCTGCGCTGGCAGTGCAACGCGATGCTCAAGAAGGTGTTTCCAACGCTTTGCTACGACGGCACGGTGGTGGCACCTGCCCGTCGCTTTGCATTCTACACCTTATCACCTCCGTGACCGGCACGCATCTTTCTCCACGATCGCGCACGCCTTCGTTTTTGAAAATAAACTGCCCGACGGCGCTCGTGCTTATCGTGCCTAGATGCGCTTGTTCGCCTCCGTTACACGCTCGAAACACTCTAACGCAGCACCTTCAGAATACCATTCACCTATTTTCTTGCGCAGAACATCAAATAAACGTTTTGTTCACTCTCTCCAGATTCAAGACTATCGTCTTTCGACGACATTTGCAGTGTAACATGTAGATTTGGGCCAATTTTTTTTATTCTGCGTTTTTGTTAATAGGGATTCGCTCTGCGAGAGCAGAAGTAGCAACGTCTTGCAGTGAGAGGAGAGGTGGTTGAGCCGAGAATTCAGGGCCACTCAACCTGCCCGTGGAAAGTGGCAGGTTTGGAACCTGTAGGCGTGGTGGAACTTTGGAACCTGTAGGCGTGATGGTTCCGCTCCTCTCCGTTCGCGGAGCCTCTGAGCGAGATAGAAGCCGGTGGTTAGTGAAACGCCTTGCCGCGTTCACGGCTCAAGCTACCAGCTCTTCCTCTCGCGTTCCTGAAGCGCTGTGTGGTAGTGTACGCAGGCGTAGGCTACCCCTTATCTGGGAGCGCACACGTTGCGCTTCGTCTCACCATAATACGACGCTTTTAATTGGTGCATGTCGAGTACCAGTGTTTATTACGCGCTTCTTGATGTCATATTTACGCGGGATTTACATTATGTTGTGTCCGGATTTATGTTAACTATGATCATGAAGCCTGATTTTTTTTCGGGGGGGGGGGGGGGGGAGGGAATTCTATTATATTTTGCGCACTGCCAGCGGTAATGCGTTACAACTACTTCAGCTACCACGGAAGATCACAGACATGAGTCGTCGGGATGGAGATGTGCCCCTAGGCGTCAACGAGGGTGCATCTACGTCTAACGGTGCCATAGCTGCCATACAATTAACAATAGATTTCGTGCGGGCTCTCGTAAACTATTGTGCAAGAAATACCCTTACAAAAATGGGTTTGACCATCTTGTCACCCACCAGTCACCTATCAGGCACCCCAGTCACCTTCCTGTAGAGTCGACCTTTCGGTAGACCTAATCTGCAGATTTTCTGCAGACGCCGAGCAGACGACAAGCATACTTTTCTGATAGTGTGCATCCCGAGTGCGTGCATGTATACGCATGTAACATATTTGTATGTATCTACACATCTTCAAAGGTGGCACAATTAATGATAATGACTTGGGTTTCACTTTTCACTCACCTATCAGTCACCCACCATTTACTCCCATACATACCTCTTCTGCAGATTTTCTGCAGATGCCGAACAGAGCGCAAGCAGACTTGTCTGTTAATCTGGGCCCTTCGAGCGTGTGCGTGGATGCATATAGTATATACGTATATATCCATACATTCTGGGTCATGACACAACTGGTAAAACTAACTAAATGAACTTCACCTATCAGTTACCCAGCGGTCACCTCCCTTCCGACCTGGCCTGCAGATTTTCTGCAGACGCCGCACAACCGGCAAGCAGACCTCTCTGTTTATGTGGGCCATGTGAGTTCATGTGTGGATTTATGTAATATGTACAAATATATGCTTTACGGGTCATGCAACATTCCATATCAATAACTTAATGGGCTTCACCTTTCAGTCAACCACCATTCACCCTAGCGACCCTAGTCTGCAGTCTGTCTGAAGAAAGGCTGCAGCTTTTCTGCATTCATGTGACAGCCTGTCAGCTGGTCATTAAATTTCACTCATTAAATGTCAAATTAAAAGAACGTTGCACATTTTACAAGTGTAGACTAAAGATCTGTGTGTTTTATTCTTCCCTAATGGCCGCCTTGATTTTGCACGTATTCTGTGTACATATTTATGTGAAATTTTGAAGCATAGGAATTTTCCTACCGGTGCTGAATGGCCAGTCAAAATACCATGGCTATATATACCGGGTAGTCGATGTTAGGTTGTGAAGTGGGAACAGTTATGCTTCTCGTATTTACTTTGCTGTTGTTGCTTTCATGTGTTGGGCACATGTTTGGTGGGTGTATGGGCGGTATTATACCTTTCGGTGCTGCAGCTTCCTTAAATGTTTGTGCTAATACAAATGGTAGC